ACTTCTATGAATATACGGGGTGTTCTGAAATCCTGGAGCTCGCTCGAAGGGTGGAATACGACACCGAGTTTTGCCTCGGTAGCTCACTCTCAGTCGAGACTTGACACGAGAAGCATCTCTGAGTTGGTCTTCACACTTGTATTATAGTGTTTGAATCGAATAGCCTCTCATTGTCCGCTCCTTTAGTGACGAGTAATCGCTACCAATTTTTAAATAGTAGTAGTACTGAGTATCAGCGACCCTTCGGGGTATATTAAAGCTGTTCCCCTCAGCTTGTGGCACGGCTTAGTCTGCCATTCCACAAAATAGGGAAAAAGAATTCGTTAACAAGTTCCCCTTTACTTATTAATTAAGGGGACCCCTACACCTATCGTTCCACAACGCGAGCCGAACCCGACATCCACAGAAGCAGCCGCTTCCGTGCAGAAACGCTTCCAGCACGCATCCAGCGTGTCCTGGGGATTCTTAGGGATACCCCCAACCACGTCACCATCGCCAAACGGGTCCGGAAACCACCGCGTTCATGGACACGGTTTTAGTTGCGATCGGTGCTAGAAAGGAAAAGAAAGTTATATTTTAATTTGTGACGTCAGAATCCGGTATATGAGTGTTAAGACTGTCATGACGCGGGAGGCTGGCGCTGTCATTGCATGGCTGTCATTTAATCTTGTGTTGAATTAGTTTGTGTTCGCATTGAATTCTGAGTAGTTTTGAGTAGTTAGTTTTAGTGTATAAATTTAAAGACAAGTTTCGTTAATTTTCATTGAGTCTACGACCATTTTCACTATATCTACCCAGGCAGCTTTAATGCGGCTTCAGGATCAGAATTACAACACGAGAACGTGAAAAACATAACAGTGTCTGAACATAAACATTATAGTCCCATGTCGTGCAGTTCCACAACAATAACTGCCCCCAACAAACTATTTAATATACCAAAGGATGAGAAAATGAGGAAGAAATCATGCAAAGATATTTTATAGAACATCTATTTTTAACAAATTATCAGATTGCTCTTGGACAAATCCAGCTTCTGTTTCAGTTTTTAAAATAATTAACAATATTGTATTAAGTAAAAGTAAATAATATAAAATCTATCCGGCACACGTAGGTAGTTTGCATAAACAGAAATGAGTAAGAGTGAGACAGACTACAGAACACGACTCTACACGACTCGTTTAATTTGGACCGATACCAGATCGTGACGTAAGAGTCAGCCGTCTTTGTTGAAGACTGCGTTTTAGTGCATAGAGAATTATTTTGAATTTATATATTTTTTTATAGGATTAATATTATTAATTATTTAATATTAATTAAAAATTTAAAATTTATGTGACAATTGACTTTTTACGATGAAAGGAATTTAATAAGAAAAGAAAAAAATGTGAAACTTCCCCATACAGGACAAGTAAGAAAACGAAAATACAATTTGCTTACTTATACGCTGCTCCTTGTGGCTAACTCCTTCGGTTCGGATGGCGGTCTCTGGTAACGATTTCAGGTCCTCGGGGTGTTCCTCAGGGTAGTGCTGGAGCTCTTCGAGTTCAAGATCTGAACTGAGGATCTTCGTCCAGGAAAACTTGTTTTATCGCCTTGATCCACTCCTGACTAGCAGAATTCGTAGTGGGATCGTGCGCGCGGCACTCGCCGGAGTGGGGCAAACGGACGGTTTTAATCGGCGCGCGGATAATTGCTCTTAACCAAGATAAATAGCGAAATCCTTACACAAAATTAGAAATTGATACTGGTTCATTACAAGTTAATAAAATGACTAACTAGATGTTACTTGAAAATAATTTTGAATATGATACAACCATACATATAAACGTAAAAATTTAAATTAAATTTGGAGGCTATACCAATAACTTTTTTTTAAATTTAAGTTTAAATACTGAATTTTTAGATTTTTCAAAACGAGTTGAAATAAAAAAAACTCATGGTGCTAAGAGTGAGTTATTGGGACTGAACAGATTGCAAATCACCTCTCTTTTCGTTCAATTCAATTTAGCAAACAATGCACCAATCACCCTGTATATTTTTAAATGGGATGTTATTTTCTTTATACAGATACCATCGATTTTTTTTGGGACTATATATTTTTTTAATGTTTTGATAGATTTTTTTATTCTCTTTCCAACCATATGAAATTTGAATGCCTTTGCATAACGAAATTTTTGAGAAAAATATTTAAGAAAACTTTCAGCCTTTGATTTTAGTTTACTTGTGCTTGCTTTCCAAATCATATCAAATATAAGGTGCTGGAGAAACAATTTTGCATACTGCTATCTGTCACATCGGTTTGTTTGTAATTGTTGTCACCTTTCAAGTTTAACTTATAACAAAATGAATGATTTTAATGAAGAAGTTGATATGCTGCAGGTTTATTATGAATGTAGAAAAAATAGTGTTGCAGCTTTACAATTATATCGACAACGTTATCCTAATAAAATTTTCTCTAACAGAAGAAAATTCAGTAAACTTCAAGTTTACTTTACTTCAAGTAAATCTAAGGCAGCATGGAACGCTAAAGAAGAAAAGAGTTTTTTAGGATATGCTTGTAATGAAAATCAAGAATGAGATTTACTATTTATTGTGTAAGAAAATCCGAATACTTCCATACGGGAATTAGCCAGGAATCATAATTTAACCGAGTACATTGTGTATAAAATTCTACCTAAACTAAATTGTTTCCTTACAAGGTGAATTTGGTTCATCTTCATAAAAATGACTAAACAAAGATTACAGTTTTGACCCAGGTACTTAAATAATGCAAATAATAATCCCAACTTTCCAAAAATGATGTTATGGACAGATGAAAGTAATTTTTCTAACAGCATGTTTAACCGCAATACATCATACCAAGCCATGATAATCCTAGAATTATAAGAAAAAGAAATTTCCAAAATCGAGTTCATATTAATGTGTGGTCTAGGTTCAAAATTATTAGGGCCATACTTCTTTGATGGTTCTTTAATTGATGAACGGTATAACAATTTTTTGAGAGATTAGTTACAACAATTTTCCAACAAGATGGAGCACTTCCGCATAATGTCCAAATAAACATAAATTATTTGAATGTTACATTTGAAGACCTCTGGATTGGTACAAGTGGACCTATACATTGGCCATATTAATCCATTGGATTTATTTTCCTGGGGTCTCGTAAAAAACGAAGTTTATCTAACACCACCAAATTACATTGATCCGTTGAAAGACAAAATTAGTACCGCAATAATCATATTCCATATAACGTTAAATTAAATGCAGTTACAAGTGTAAATCGAAGATGTGCATTATGTATGGAAAAAAATGGACAACAGTTTGAACAGTACTTCTAAATTTCACTATTCATTTTACATTTTTTGTTTACATTTAATATTGTATTGTACAATATTTTGTTTTTCCTATACCTTAACTGTCTTAGTATACACCCTGTATAACATAATTAATTAATACTGAATACTACTTTTAGACTAATATTTATATTAATAACAATTTTAGGAGGCGACCCACAATTTGCTTCAAAATGTAACATCCGGAACGATAAATACGAAAAATTCATGGGCATGGCTTCAGCTAGGGTTAAGTTATTTAGAACAAGAAGATAACAGCAATGCTATAGATAACTTACGATCTGTAGTGAGAATTCAACCAAAAAATGTGTAAGTTCAATGTACCACTGTTTTACTTTCATTATGATTTATATTTGTCTTTTAGTCACTGTTGGGAAGCATTAGCTGATGCTTATCTTATAAGAGGTTCATATACATCAGCCCAAAAGTGTTATGAAAAATCTTTAGAATTAGTTGATAATATACTGTATCCATTGTTTCAAATTGCTAATATTAAAAAGGTATATATATATATTAACTTGATTTATTTTTTAGATTTTTAATTTAAATTTTATAGATACTTGGTCATTTTGCTGAGGCTCAGGTTAATTTTGAAGAAATATTACTTTCAAATGAACATTATGTACCAGCTTTAAAGGGATTTGCTGAAACATGTATATATCAAGCTAAGGAATGTTACAAAGACCAAAGACTAGGGACTGCCCGGAATTATGCACAACTTGCACTGGAAAAATTAATCCTGTATGTATGCATGAAATAATTTTTACTTGACATTATTTTAGAATTAAATTATTTATATCATTTGTCACCTCCTTCCTTATTAACTAACTCAGAAGATGAAGGAGAATTTGTTTTTGTTACAAGAGCCAGTATTTTCTGTCACTAAGAGTTCCAGGTGATTTATTTATTATTTCAAAAATTAGGGATTTTTTTATAAAAAATACCCCAGTTTAGTTTAGGATACACTGCACTAGAATGTTACATGAGATAAATAATAGCAAGATAAAATTAAATACTTCTCTTTAAGAATGTTAGTAGACAATTTATTCTAAACAGTTAAACAGATGCGATTTTTACAATTACGTTCTATACATAAATATGAATTAATTTATTTTACAAAATCTGAACTGACTAAAAAATTATATGGATATAAATGAAATCACGGGCAAAAGTAAAAATATATCTAGTAATCTGGTTTAAATAAAATTCTCGTAGCCTTATTAACAGAGTTTAAATCTCACCAATATTATTTATTTAGACAATATAGTACCCTACAGCAGTGGCGGCTCGTCAGGTTACGCAAGTAACGCACCGCTTCACCTAAAATTTCCGTTTGGTTGTGCACTTTAAAATTATTTTTAATTTTATATAAATTTTATAATTTATGTATAATTCTATATTGAAAATGTATTGTGTTTGTTTGTTTAATACGCAGAAATAAACAGAATAGTTGCGCCGTGAACGCCTTCTAAAAAAACATTGCCTTCGTTGAGCGAGAACATCAACCTCGTATCGTACAACGTTTAGTATACGCAAGTGACGCAATCGAAACAGTCTGAATTCCACTTCACTTCGAAGCGTTGTTTACGGCAGTTGTCATAGTAACGATGCGGCCAACATGAGAGAAAATTCCGGCGTGGGTAAACGAGTGACGCGGATATTGAAGCAGCATTTGATTTTATCTAACAGAAAATTGCTTAAGGGAACTAAAATTGTAGTTAGAGAACACTGGATAAAGTTGGTAAGAGTGGGAAAGTCTGGATCAATTTCGGTGCAACATATTTTAAGTATTTTGGTGATGGAATTGTCCATAAAATTGCTACAATGGAGGACTTTAATAGTTTGTAACTATTAGGTTTCATAATTCTTGAAGATTTAATTTTCCTGTGAATTACCTATTACCTATATGTATCTATACCTACTTAATATTTTATATCCTTTCTCTTTCAAGGAATGTGTGTAAATATCGATATCACTTGATTTTAATTTAAAATTATTTCATTATAGTGTTAAAATGGGTGCAGTTCATGTGTACCCAAGTTTTCTTGTTTTTTCTATTTCGTTTTCTTATAATCTATTTCTTTAGTATACGATATTAATTTTGACTCAGTTCCTTTTTTAACCTTTCTTTGCTAATTCAAATAAAAATGTGTGACTATTTATATACCAGGTGTAACAGGATCATGATACACTCCCCGTATCTCCGTTAGTTTTAAAGGTAATTGATTGAAATTTGGGATATTGCATATACATAATAAGCGGCACTTTTTGATCTACAAATGATTTTTTTTCCACTTCCGGTTTCGCCGGAAGTGATACCAACTTTCGATTTTCAAATGGAATACCCTGTATATTATTACATTCCTGAAATCTGTATAATTTTCTGAATCCAATGATACCACATAAGTGACATTTCAAACGTCAAAATTTTTTATAATTTAATTTTTAGTTTTCCATTTAAGTGTGCCATGATGGTTCCGATTTATTCCAATTGACCCGTCTAATGCTGGAAAAATCGAAATCCCGTCAAAAATACTAAATTGCGTTTTTTATGAGCAAATAAAGTTCATCGTAATCGATTTTGGGGTAAAACTCAATTTTTTCAAATGGAACCATATTGGTACCGTGGTACCATTTATTAGTACTATTAATAAGGAATTAATTCATACCTGGTAATAAAATGTGCGATAAATACAATCAAAATTACAGCTAAAAGAAAATAAGAAAATACAATTATTTTGTTCTAATTTAATGCTAAGAAACTAAGGTGGCTTTGAAAACAATGAAATTATTCCTTCAGACTGTCAAATAAATTTTGTTGGTTTATCGGTGTTTTTATTGTGTATTGGAAAAGTCTTTACATTTGTTGTTATTTTTGTTCAAAATGCCGCACATTTATACAAGGGATGAAAAAGTGGACATGTTAATTATTTATGGGGAATGTAGAAAAAATGCCGTTACGGCTAGAAACCTTTATGCCGACCGATATCCTGATAGACAATGTCCAGCGAGAAATTATTTTAATCGTCTTGAAAATCAATTCCGAAGAGAGCCTAACCATGATCCCGAAGAAAACGTTATCATCGACGAAGGAACGGAAATTAATGTTTTATTTCGAATAGAAGTTGATAAGACTGTTTCTTTAAGGCAAATTGGGGTTGAATTGGGAATTAGTCACCAAACGGTAAGCCGAATCTTGCATAAACATAATTATAAATCTTTCAAATATCAATTGCACCAACACCTGTACGAAAATTATCATGAACGTAGAATGGAATATTGCAATTGGACCTTGCATATTAATGTGCAGCCAAACAATGCTCTTTTGGGAAGGATTTTATTTTCGGACGAGTGTAGGTTTACAAATATGGGATTATTTAACCGACAAAATACAAGGTATTGGTCCCAAGAAAATCAAAATTTATTGCGGGAGGGTAACTTTCAAGTGCGGTTCGGTTTCAATGTGTGGCTTGGAATACTCGGTCGTAGAATCATTGGTCCAATAATATTTGAAGGACCCTTGACTGGTGCTAGATACTTAGGATTTCTGCAAAATGAAATTGAGGACAGTTTAACTCAATTACCTGTCCATTTACGACAGGGAATGTATTTCCAACAAGATGGAGCTCCTCCCCATAATTCAAGAATAGTAATTGATTACCTTCAACAGGCATTCGAAGGAAACGTAATTTCGACGAATGGTCCTGTGCGATGGCCTCCAAGGTCACCTGATTTGACACCTCTCGATTTCTTTGTTTGGGGCCATTTAAAAAACATTGTCTATGCAACCGCCGTTACAACCCGCGAAGACCTGGAGTTGCGAGTAAGACGTGCAATTAATAGTATAACGGCCCAGCAATTAGCGAACGTTCTTCAAGAAACAGCTATGCGAGTTCAGAAGTGCATTGACGTTAATGGACAGCATTTCGAACAATTGTTGTAATGTTTTGTGTTCATTTTTTGTATTTCAAAGCCACCTTAGTTTCTTAGCATTAAATTAGAACAAAATAATTGTATTTTCTTATTTTCTTATAGCTGTAATTTTGATTGTATTTATCGCACATTTTATTACCAGGTATGAATTAATTCCTTATTAATAGTACTAATAAATGGTACCACGGCACCAATATGGTTCCATTTGAAAAAATTGAGTTTTACCCCAAAATCGATTACGATGAACTTTATTTGCTCATAAAAAACGCAATTTAGTATTTTTGACAGGATTTCGATTTTTCCAGCATTAGACGGGCCAATTGGAATAAATCGGAACCATCATGGCACACTTAAATGGAAAACTAAAAATTAAATTATAAAAAATTTTGACGTTTGAAATGTCACTTATGTGGTATCATTGGATTCAGAAAATTATACAGATTTCAGAAATGTAATAATATACAGGGTTTTCCATTTGAAAATCGAAAGTTGGTATCACTTCCGGCGAAACCGGAAGTGGAAAAAAAATCATTTGTAGATCAAAAAGTGCCGCTTATTATATATATGGAATATCCCAAATTTCAATCAATTACCTTTAAAACTAACGGAGATACGGGGGGTGTACCATGATCCTGTTACACCTGGTATAGGATGTCTTAATGCACGATCTCTTTTGGCACATTTACATAATGTAAAGACCATATGTCTTCAACATAATTTTGATATTTTATTTGTGTGAAACTTGGCTAAATGAAAATGTTACAGATGATGCGGTATCTTTTGAAGGGTATAATTTATATAGGAGGGATCGTGGAGCATGGCGGGGGAGGCGTATGCATTTACATATCTAATAAAATACGCTGTGAATTAACTAATAATCATGAAATAATATCAGAGCAAATTTGGCTGAATATAAAAATTAAAACCAATACTATTGCCATTGGTGTAATATACAGGCCTCCTCACACAAACGTAAATGCCTTTATTAATGAGTTTGAGGATACTTTAAGTTTAATATATCCTACTGTCGAAGGAATCGTGTGCGGTGGGGATTTTAATATAGATTTTTTGAATATTAATAATGTTATGGTTAAAAAAATGGTATCAGTTCTTCAATGTTTTGATATAATGCAGGTTATCGACACTCCTACAAGAGCTACTGCCACTACTGCCAGTTTGTTGAATGGTATTGTTACATCTCCTGACTGTGTAATTGAGAGTGGTGTCATTGGTGTAACGGGTATTATAGCTGACCATGATATAGCTGTTTGTAAGATAAAAGTAAATGTGGAAAAGCAGAGACCCAAAACTGTCACCTACAGATCTTTTAAATATTTCAATGAAGAAAATTTTAGAGCCGATTTATTTAATATTCCATTTTTACAATTTTTGATCAGGAGGGAGCTGATGAAAAAATCTTATTTTTGACTAACTCACTTACTGCCTTATTTGATAGACATATGCCCTTAGTAACATCACGAGTAACTAAATGTAAGGCCCCCTGGTTAACAAGTACAATTAGGGAAATGATAAAATTACGAGACAAAGCTTTAATTAGGTATAAGAGAACTCAGTCGGATATTCACCTTCAATTTTATAAAGATATGAGAAACTATACTAACTGCAATAAAGCGAGAGAAAAAGGCATATTTTGCAAGTCAATTCAAAAACAAAAATTCTAAATCTCTGGAATACTTTAAAAACCTATAATGTAATTTCTAATAAATCTGTTCCAATACCCGAGAATTTAAAAAACCCTAATGAAATTAACGACAATTTTATATCTTCTTGTTCTTCGAAAGAACCTC